GACGGCCGCTAGAGGGCACTCTAGGCTCGTGTACCAGTATCTGCTACTCCTGTACCACTGAAAATTTACATGTTCGTTATTTTTACACTGACGGCCGCTAGAGGGCACTCTAGCTGGCGCAACTTATACTCCAGAGCGACTTATAGTCTGGAAAATATGGTAATTCAACTTTTTTTTTTTTAAACATTCATTAACACCAATTGGGAAATTCAACAAATACAAACAACACTAATGCGTTTACAAGAGAAGCGTCATGTTTTATACAACTCTAAGGTTTATCTTGGAATGATACTAAACAGTTGTTTAGTTGTTGACACTCACCCTCCTGGATGCTGAGAGCAGGCTGGTTGTGAGTTGCTGCCGTCGGCTCCATATCCTCCACCTTCACCAGCATCACATCTCTCCCCACCCCAATCTGCACACACAGCGTAGAGAGAGGACGAGTGGACTGTTAACATCTACAGACATTTAGACATTTAAGTCCCAAACAAATACGCTCACATCAAATTACAACATTAGTCTAACCGGAACACAGTTGATGGGACAGTGACAGCACAGTTTATGGAAAGAAAAAAATAAATGATCTGTAACAAGGATGTGAGAGGCCCAGAGTGATGGGGCGCTTAATGTTCTCGCCCTGTAGCAGCACGATTATTTTTGAAGGCTCAGCGGTAATGTTTATATTCTCCTGGTGTGTGTTTACTGTCTGTGAACTCCTAGTCCAAAAATGATGCTTTTAGGTTTATGGTTAACTGTGGCTCTGTGATGGTCTGGCGAACTTTCCAGGGTGCAACCCCGGGAAACGCCCAAGTTAATTCTAAGATGGTACAGAATATCCACAAATAAGATGACGATGAAGACCAAACGACTGCGAACAGAATCAGCAGTAACAATAACGTAATAATGTTTTTACTTAGAGAATCAGACCCAAATTTGTTTTTTAGTTTGTTTAAGTGGTGAATATACAGTAAAGCGTCACATTTAAACAATTGTCAATGTTAATTCTGTTGGGGTTTTTTTTTTTGTTGCTATTTTTTGATGCAGAAAAGTTTTTTTTTTTTTTTTTGCTCTTTTTTGATGCAGGAAAAGCCAGGTAAGAGCATTTTCTTTTAGCATCTCCGCCTTGTTTTATTTCTTATTTCAGACAGCATATTGTTTCATAGAAATTCCGTTCCACAAGAACTTCAAATGCAAACAACATATCCAGGATTGAAGATTTTAAGTAGATGACAACCGCAAAATCCTGCTGTGTAAATGATTTTATGTATTTAAATGCTATTAAGTCACAGAATTGTTTGGGTTTTTTTTTTAAATTCAGGTAATAGATCTTTTGTCCCCACAATCATAGTCTGCCTCAGGAAAAGCACATCCAAAAATAATCAACAGTTTTAGCTCTGAAGCTAACGCACGAGGGTGGAGCTAAACAAAAGATTTCAAACACTGAGGTACGAAAAAAACCATGACATCAACTCCACAGAGTATTTTGCAGTAAGTCAAGTACCACTGCGGAAAATTAGGGCGAGAGCAGTTAACTCACTAACTCTGTAGCTCTAGACTTCCTGCAAAAAATATGAAACACGAGACTGAAGTTCTTCCCCATTTGAAAAATAATTCGGAAAAAAAAACGTTATCATCTACTATGGTTTACCATTCAGTCAAATTGATACTACAGTATAGTGTAGAGCACAGTAAATGTATTCAGGTTTGTTTCCTGAGTGCTCGTTTTTTAAAGTTCGTTTTTTAAAGTGCTTTTTAAATCTTTGTATAAAGCTAACAGGCAAACTAAGGCCCGGGGGCCGGATGTGGCCCGTTCAGGCTTTTAATCCGGCCCGTCAAACTTTTCCAAATTTTATTATTTATTTATTATTGTTATCATTATACTTCTGCCTTTTCCCTGCAATACCAATGTTTCCCCAATACATGTCGTAGAAAAGGCTAAAAGCATTTTAGCCTTTATGCAGAACTTCCACCTGTCATTTATCTTAGTTCACACGAACGCTCCATCTATCTGTTCCTGACCTGTTTTTTGACTCGCGGGTCACAATTGTCCTAAAATTAAACAAGGGGCCCGTTTAATTTTAGGACAATTGTGGCCCGCGAGTCAAAAAGTTTGGCCACGCCTGATATAAAGGGTTTGATAACAATAGCTCACAAGTCTTAACAATGCAGTCAGTTATTGCGTTATGTATCTGTGTGTGTATCTGTGAATTACACAGATATTTAAGCACAAATTATTTCAGCTTACAGGTTGTTAAAAGTAACTGGTGAGAGCTGCTGGTGCAGCAGTGCTGCTGAACGTCTGAAGGTTTTAGTCCCGAAGTTAATTTCGACCCCTGAACCTTGCATCCACTCACAGTGTGTTGGGTGATGAGATGGCGACGGGATGGAAAGACAACATTGGTAATGTTGTTTATATAACTTATTAAAAGGTAAAATATTTCATCTTTGATCAACCAACTGGGCTGATGCTAGAACATACCATTAGGGGAGGCCACTCTTTAGATCAATGTTTCACAAAGACTGGGTCAGGACCCTCAGGTGGGTCGCAAAAGATTTTTTTCAGGGTCACCTCGCATCATGTTTACCAGGAGTTTACGAATAATGACTTTTAAAATATCGGTGCCCAGTAAAAAAGTTTGGAAAACACTGCTTTAGATGATGATCAGACTTACCTTAAAATTAGTATAAATGTTCAAAATTTAAAAAAGAGACAATCTGTTTCAACTGCAAAACCGTTTAAGGCGATAATTACATAATCCATCAGGATTAAAGAGTTACATGGCAATGCTAATTTTTAACAAACTCACTGAAGTGTTAAGTGGAAACGCTTTAGTCAATTTGTTCAGAAGAACTGTTCTGATATCAAAAAAATCTGAGATGAACAGGTCGCGCGTGGTAGGAAATTGTGAGAAACACATATTCAGACAAACTTTTTTTTTTTATTTTGCAGCCAGGAAGGGTGTTTACAAATCTACAGCCTTTTCCAAGTAACCACTTCAAAGAAACTGAAATCCCGCTGTCGTGTTATGTCCCAGCTTCTGCTAGCTTTAGCAAAAGTGAATCAATAAGCAACTCTTGTTGATTTCTTCCGAGGATAAGACGGCAGCATCCTTACATTTTTATCAGTGTATTAATGAGCACACCTACAGTTTTAACGACACATGTGGAAATCATTTTTTTAAAAATAATATGTTCATGTTGCTCAGCACAAAGTCTCTGCTGGTTTGCGAAATTAAGTCGACAGTTCCGTCATTCAAATGGACAGTTCACGTCAGTTCCTCTGCGACGTCTTCGCTCTGATACTCGGGGTGATTTTTTTGCTGGTGTGTTTTGAGGTTTCTTATCCAGGCGAATCCTTTCCCACACAACCTACAACTGTACGGTTTCTCCCCCGTGTGAACGCGCTGGTGCTTCAAAACTTAAGTTTGTTTCCTTATGAAACAACCTCAGGTTTCCAGCCTCTGAAAACATCTTCCCACACGTGGAGCAGCTGAAAGGTCTCTCTCCTGTGTGGATCCGCTGGTGGATCTCCACCTTTTTAGGCCGATTGAAAGCTTTGCCGCAGAAGCTACAGACAAAAAGTCTTTCCTTTCGGTGGTGCAGAGCGCTGCTGGTGCCACCCCTATCGTTGTTGCCGAGGGGCTGGGGCATCATAAAAGAAGAATTGTAACGAGCCCATCCGTTAACGCTGGAGGAGGTCGATGGGAAATCGGCTGCTGCCAGTGAGAATGAACTGGACAGCTTTGGTCCTTCGAGCTCTGCCCCCGGTGGCTCGTCAAAAATATCCCCAACCAACGAGTTCGCGCTCTTATTACTGTCACACAACACGTCAAACTGCGAGTCACTGTTGCCATCGTCAACATATTGGGACGAAGCTATGGTGTCCTGCAGTGAGCCTGTGCCCTCAGCACAGGTACTGGGTGGACAGTTAAGGACAGGAGAGGAGTCACTGACCTCCACTCCTCTGCTGCTGCCACTGGGAGGCCTGGCCCTGCTGGTCTGGGGGTGATTGTCCTGCTGTCCAGGTCTAGCACTCTGTCCAGAGGCTCCTCGATGGACAATCTCCAGCACACCTTTGAAAAGTGACAACATTTTAAGGTTCTTTTCGTTTTCTTAGAAGCAAAGCCAGCAGTTGTCAGAGATTACAAGGACGTCGCCTTTTCAATACAACATACAATTGCTGTGTTAAACTGGATTAGCAGATTATAAAGCTGCTTTTCTTTTGTAATATTCAGGCACATTAAATGTTTAAAATCACGGAGAAAAAAAAAACTTTTGCTGCAACCTCAGAAATTGACCATCAGACCATCAATCCCTAAGGCAGCAACACAAAATAGACAAGCACATTTAACATCAAGACCATTTGGTGGATGTGCATTCAGTCATCAAGCAGTCCAAGCATGGGAAAACCAAGGCCCAGGGGTCGGTGCAGCATTTTAATCCGGGCCCGCCAAACTTTTCCAAATGATAAAATTTATATAAATGATCATGATACTTCTGCCTTTTCCCTGCAATATCCGTGTTTCCCCAATAGATGGCGTAGAAAACGATAAAAGCATTTCAGCCTTTATGCATGACTTTTACATGTCATATATCTTAGTTCACGCCAACGCTCCATCTATCTGCTCCTGACCCGTAGTCCTTAATGTTTTGTTCAACATGGTCTGTATTTGTAAGATAATCCACGACTGCCACATATAAACTTGTCAGAGAAACTCACTCACCATCATCTCCTATGAGCGGCACATCTTCCTCCGGTTCTTCAACTTTGTTTGCTTCGACGTTCTCCTCTTTCACCAGCAGCTCCTTATGCTCCTCTAACCCCACATCGGGAGACTATTAAAAATTGGAAAAAAAGAAAAATCTCAATTAGCAAATGCACTTTTCTTTTTATTTAACTTCCTTTAAGCTAGTGATTGCCAACCAATGTGCTGCAACTTAGTGGGCCACGAAAGAGCATCAGGTGTACAATAAAAAAATGATCCAATTTCACTTAGTTTGTATGAAAACTAGTATTTATTTACCGCAATGAACTGATCTTTGTTTGTCTTTGTGACAGTTAGCGTCAAAAGAAATGAATGGACGTCCACAAAAAAAACAACAAATAAAGACAGAATTATACAGACGCAGTAAAAACAGCAAAAGTCCAAGTGAAGAATATCTGATTTATATGGTCCTGTTCCAGAAGATCACAGTCACTTCTTCATGCTAAAATTTAAAGTTCAGACAGCTACGGGCTTTGAGTGAGGACTGTAATCTGATCGTTAAAAGTGTTCAGAACATAATTTCCAGACATGGACTTCTCATATTAATACATCAAAATTACTTACTTTGGGCAGCATGTCATCTGAGTGGATCGCCTGGTTAATTGTACAGCCTGTAGCAGCATCTTTACCAGACCAGGAGCCAACATCCACTTGTTGGTCAAACACACCACCTGAACACACACACACACACAAAAAAAAGGCTTATGAAAATGTGGAAAATTGTGGCCTCATTCAGCCTTCAGTACCATGGAACTGTTTTGGTGCACTTAGAAAAGGACAAATTGTTGGTCAAATAAATTTATAAAATGGACTAGATACATTAGTGTCTCTGATGATGACGACCCTCATACAGGAGACACTGACAGCACTTGTACAGCAAGACAGGGTGTCAAATGTTTGCAAACGTTTCTGAATTATGTCAAAAGAAGAAAAACAGGTAGCTAGGTCCATAAATGCCATAAGAGCCGCTCAAAAGAACAACTTGTTAAAGTAAAAAGAATTCCATATTAAGAAATGCACATCAGCAGCAAGAAAAACACCAGAAATATACCACAAGTTGGTAACAATCTTCTGTGGACATACTTTCACACATGTGCTATTTACAATTTACACAAGCACCATTTAAGGAGGACTCAAAGATCAATGGTGTAGCAGCTAACTTTGAATTAATTTTTTTTACCATAATTGCATTCTTCCTCAGATAAATGTGTAGTGTAATGTGTAGTATTGGATGTCAATGTCAAAAACTACCACGTAAATAGTCTCGTAAGGAGATTATGATGTAAAAAAAAGTGCTTTTCATTAAATGTGTGTACTGCCTGTGAAGGACTCTCACCGGTGGGGGCCGCGGTCTCTCGGAACCTGTCTCCGCCGCCGATGTGTACCCGGGTTCGGCCGTTGCCGCCACTGTTAGCGGCGCTATCCCGCAGCCTCCGCTCGGCGTTGCCTCTCGCCATCTTGAGCTCCAGCAGATGTAGCTTTCTCTTCAGGGCCTTGTTTTCTCTCTGGCACTGAGACATCTGAAGACTAACAACGGCGTAGTCGTCGTCCACTAGCTTACATATCTCTGCAACGGCAGCGTTGGCCAGGACCTCCATGATGGAGGCCAACTGGGTTTGGAAGGCAAGACGGTTAGTCATTATCTTCCCGAGGCCCTTTGCTTAATCCGAGCACCGAGTTGTGTTCTCGGGAAAATAACGAACCAAGAAGTAGACCGTACAAAACAGAGATGCTGGATATTTGTTATGTTTCAGCATTTAGCAGCTACACATTGGCTAATACTAATAAAGCTCTAGTGGCTTCCCCTTTGACCACAGGCTCCGCCCACGAATTTACTGCGTCACTTCCTTTTTGTTCGAACAAAAAAGTCACAGCAACGTAAACCAGTCGCACAAATAACAAAATGAAAACATAATGCATGTGTATGCTTTTAGAAGATATTTTTTATTAATAATCATAACAATAATTAAATTTTAAAAAGCCAAATTACTAAAATGTAGGGTTCGAGTCAAATATATAAAATTAATATGTATTTAAACCAAATATGAACATTTAGGTGAAATAATATAATATAATATAATATAATTTTTAGTAAATAATCTCATTATTATTACAAAATATTATTTACACACACAATTCCTCCCGTGTCATATGCCTTTTCCAAATGTACAAATACACAATGTAGCTCCTTCTGACCTTCTCTGTACTTCTCCATCAGCATCCTCAAGGCAAATATGGCATCTGTGGTACTCTTCCTAGCCATGAAACCATACTGGTGTTCACAATTCTCCACTGCCTGCCTCAACGAACATCTCACCTATCTCTCCCAAATCTTCATTGTCTGACTCATCAACTTTATCCCTCTGTAGTTGTTACAACTCTGTGCATCACCCTTCTTATGAATTAACACCAGAACATTATTCCTCCTCTCGTCAGGCATCTTGGCAGTCTCTACAATCCTGTTAAACAACCCAGTCAGGGAATCCCCCGCCACTTCCCCTAAACACTTCCAGACTCCCACTGGTATGTCATCAGGACCAACTGACTTTCCACTCTTCATCCTCTTCAGGGCTTTTCTTACTTCATCCTTTCTAACCTGATCCACCTTCTTCCCAGTAGTTTCTGGCTCCTCATTTCTACTTTCCCTGTCATTTTCCTCATTCAACAACAAGCACTAAATTATATAAAGGCAAAGAGTCCAAGTTTTTGTATAGCAACAGGTTTTCAATAACTGAAACAGTAATATGTCAAATGTGACGTAGGTGTTTTTTTTTTTAACAGAATGAAGTGAACTCAGGAATGGGTTGATGGGTTAAATACAATGACACATTTTGTTTTTGTTAGATTTTGATAGATAGGACATTAACTGACAATCAATAAACACACAAACGCATACTCTTAGTTGGGTTTTTGTACTGGTGAAACGAAAGTCAAGGTTTTTCTTTCCTAATCTCGTGTCTGTGTGGGTGTGGGTGTTGTGTTGTCTTGTGATAGTGAAGGAAATGCATGACACAGAGATTTGATATTTGAGTTTCGTTTCTGGACACACGGGAGTTAAAGGCTTCACTCGCTTGAGCGAACGTCGCGAAGTTCGCGTCTCTTCATTCGTGTAACACTCCGAGACACAAACCAATAAATGCGTCACAATGTTTTAGAAACATTTTTTCCCCCCCGTTGTACTTACTGCCTTTCCACTTGCCGCTGTTAGGTCAGTTTCGCTCATCTCTGTGTTAAGTTCGCTTCATTTCGCGCCTCTCCCCTGCGCGAACTATCGTCTCCTGCGCGTCTCGCTTTGCTCTGCCTTTATAAAGCCTCCTCCCTGGTCGCCACAGAGACCAGTATCTCTAACATCATTGACTGCGACACCGCTGCTGTTGACTTCGTACCAGAGATTCTGAACCATATATAAACCAACACCATCAACCGGAGACTCGCCAAAGATGAGGTATTTATATACTGCTGCTTAAATCTATTATACAAATGAATAGACTTAATACAGAATAAGAGAAACGGTTCCGGTTTTTACAGTTTCACGACTTCATCATTCAGCTTTTAATTGCTTTAAATCAAAGTGCTTGCCATTTTTAATTGTTTAAGTATATTTTATATATTTCATATTTTATTGTATTATTTATTATTGTATATTTCCCCCAGAAACTTGACTAAATTGTCAGGTCAACTTTGATTATATGTTATTAAAAATAGGTTTAGTTTGTTTTGGGGTTTGTTTTTTTTTCTTCGTTTTTTTGTTTATAAAAAATATACAGCTGTGATTTACAGGGGACGTAGCTAACAACATCCTAGCAATAAAAAAGTCACATTTGACAAATAAATGTGTGGTATCGTTACTTTGTTAAAGCAAAAAGCCGAAAATTGCGTAAGGAAAT